TGCTAAAATAAGAAAGCTAGACAATAATGAGACAGTATTTGGCACCTGTTCTAGCCATATGGATTCCACATTTGCTTTTAGGTGGAAATAACAAGTGGCACATCTTCATCATGTAATTGGAGTACAGGCGAAATTATTACGTGAAACATTCATTCGACGTACTGTAATTGCATTCGAGAGAGGACGCTGTATACCGCTTTGGCGGTTTGGATGAGTACACAGTTGGATTAAAGACCACTGCTGCCCAACTGATCTGCATTGACCTCTCCCAGTGGCAACTCAGTTGTCAACTCCATTCCCCATCAAGCGATTGATCAACCAAATTCCGTGAAGGTGAGAGAAAAATTAGCTGTCGGGCACTGGTTACACCAATCCAAACAGGTGCACCTTTACTGATCATCCCATTTCCTTCAGAGATGAGTAATGCGTTGCACAACATTCAACTGCCTATGTGGACAACGAAAGACGGAACTAATCCAGTGTTGCTTTACATCAGTTCATGCAGCATACGTTTGGGATTTTGAAGCCTATTAAGCCGAATTTACCTAGCATTTCCCCACTACTTCAATACAAACCTGAAACTCTGGCTCCATGAATAAATACCTGGAAATCTACAGCGCATTTTTGAGTTACCATGTTTACTGACGAAACGTAGTAGTGCACTATTAATATGACATCAACAACCTCACAAATTGATATTGCGAAAGCGTGATTTTGTCTGACGCAGTCAACTAGTTTTTTTATGAATCGCACGATAAATCGCCATATCATTTCGTTCGGGACTCTTCGATTGATAGCAGACCTAGAGTGGCAAAATTAACAAATACCTGGGACGAATAGATATCAAAGATCTAAAAGCAAATCTAACCTAAAATTTTATTTAGTAGACTGGATCTTGCAAGCGATTTTCAGCAGTCTCAAAAAATGAGCTTAAACGGTACAAAGAAAAGCTATGATTAATGCCAACAACTAACATTGTCATCTAATTTGTTATGAAATTGATTAGACAATTGTATACCAGAAAGTACAACCTGTCAATGCTCTTCAGATGGACACTCATGTTGTCTTTTGTAAGACTAACTTGTCCTAATTATTATTTAATCCTACGTTTTGTGGACGTATTGCACCTGCCAAAGCATATTTTGCTTGTCAAAATAGCTGGCGGTTTATTTAATCTTTTAAACATAACTTCATATTTCTACCCAAGGAGCAAACTCTGCCAACTTTTGTGCTGGTAACTTTAGGCTGATGGACCATAATCAAAGTGGAGTAAATTGAATAAATCAAATAAGCTCATTTACATCGCAGCACATACAACACCCAAAATATGAACTCAGTTTTAAGTAGGAAGATGGAAAAAGAGGGACAAATCCGCCTTAAGAAACAGTCAGAGTAGGAAATGGTTGCACCAATAGCAGTAGTGAATTGCATCGAAAGGTAAAAGCGATTTGGACAAGCTGTTTTCGCTAAAGTATCGGTTTAATATGAATTCCTTTTTTAATAATTAAAATGCGCAATATTCAGCATGCAACCTGTTCACTACTGGTATGTGTAGTGAACCGTATCATCCCAAATGCATATCATTTACCATGAGAATATTTGCACAAAGCATGGCCACTTAGTAAAGCACGCAAATTCATGTGCTATTATTCAGCCCAAAAGCCGCACCGAATTCTCCTCCTTGTCCTTTCTCTGTTGGTTTAATATTACTGCCTCATTCACAGGAAAGCCACATAGAATCAAATGCCTAATCATTTATTTATTGTTAATGACAGTCAGAACTAGTAACATTTAATTAGAAATTAAGCCATGAAAAATTAAAAGAGCATGTAAATCATCAACTAGCTCCACCAATCCCATGTAAGTTGGAAGCTCCTTCATATATATTAATGTAGGCAGATAAGGAGAGTCATGATCATCGCCCACCACAGAGACTCCTTTCTCACCACTCAATGTCGCCGACTTCGGACTCCACACGACAGTGTCAGTTGGTCAAATCGCATCCCTACCGAATGCTATAGATGTGCACCGAGAGTATGGAGAAGAGTAGAAGATTAGCAGCATGTAGGATAAGTAGAATAAAGGCTGGAGCGCGTAAGGATAAAGAAGATATTTACGAATATTTTCGAGATTTTAATGGGAGACAATTTTGACAATAGTAGGCAGCATTCGGTAGTTGTTATGAAACAGGAGGTAATGGACAACGAATGACGGAGCGATGAGGGTCTCGATGGCAGTGGCAATTTTGGATACAGACTGGATAATTGAAGGCGGTGGAGGAGAATGAGGATGTAGATACAGACGAGGGTAGGCGATCGTAGGATGCCGTGGAGAGGAATGCTCAACGGGGGAATGGGATTTCTATGTCAGCGCCATTTGTGATTGCCTCGATAGCAGTAGTGGTGGTTGTAGAGATAGTGGCGGTTAGACGAGATGTCCACTTCCATGTGCAAAGGCATCCAGAACGAAAGAGACCTCAAATCCTATGGGCGCCAAGTCAGTATGAAATTAAGTTACTCATAAAAGCTGGACAGTGCGACTGCTGCATGCACTGCTGGTGGTAGACATAAAACAGAATGAAGTATTATGGAGACTTGTTAGTGGAGTTCCAATCGGAGTGGCGAATTTTGGTTGTGTTAAGGGTAACTCAAAGGCGATTTGACTTCTTTAGATGCACAATTTGGAAGTGTATTTTATTTATGGCATTAGTGATTAGCGAGGTGAATTATTATTTAGTCAGTGAGCAATCGTTGATGCCCTGGAAAAAGGACGGTTCCAAAAGTAAACTGCGCACTGTTGTGGATGCATTTGAGTGCAAAATGTAACGCCCTCTTAAGCGGTCAAGTATTTTGTATTCGAAAATTGAAGAATGGATAAAGATGTACGTAAGAGGTACACTACCAGCTGCAAAGGGCATTTTCCGTTTCTGTTTGGCAGCCTTTGAACCCTTCCCTTCGGTAATACCAACAACTTGCCTCCATAGCAGTTGGGATTAGCACACCGTAAACAGATTCCACAAGACGACCGTGAATTGCACGACACTAGATAAGGCGAGGCTGGTATAACAGTTTGTTGCACAGTCATTTCGGCTAGAATGCTAATTTTGTCATATTTTTGGGCTGGGGAAATCAGCTAAAACATGTAGAGTCACATTTTTTTTATATGTAATTACCTCATTTGTTAGTGCTTCTCAACATGCCACAATGTAGACATTTCAGGTGTGGTCACTTAATTTTTGTAACATCCTGCAGCAATGTGAACGAAGATAACGCTTGCTACTTAGAACAGTTCAGCTCCAAGCATCGAATAATCATGCATTTAGATGAAACAAAGTTTTCAGTAGTGGTGGTTGTAGAGATAGTGGCGGTTAGACGAGATGTCCACTTCCATGTGCAAAGGCATCCAGAACGAAAGAGACCTCAAATCCTATGGGCGCCAAGTCAGTATGAAATTAAGTTACTCATAAAAGCTGGACAGTGCGACTGCTGCATGCACTGCTGGTGGTAGACATAAAACAGAATGAAGTATTATGGAGACTTGTTAGTGGAGTTCCAATCGGAGTGGCGAATTTTGGTTGTGTTAAGGGTAACTCAAAGGCGATTTGACTTCTTTAGATGCACAATTTGGAAGTGTATTTTATTTATGGCATTAGTGATTAGCGAGGTGAATTATTATTTAGTCAGTGAGCAATCGTTGATGCCCTGGAAAAAGGACGGTTCCAAAAGTAAACTGCGCACTGTTGTGGATGCATTTGAGTGCAAAATGTAACGCCCTCTTAAGCGGTCAAGTATTTTGTATTCGAAAATTGAAGAATGGATAAAGATGTACGTAAGAGGTACACTACCAGCTGCAAAGGGCATTTTCCGTTTCTGTTTGGCAGCCTTTGAACCCTTCCCTTCGGTAATACCAACAACTTGCCTCCATAGCAGTTGGGATTAGCACACCGTAAACAGATTCCACAAGACGACCGTGAATTGCACGACACTAGATAAGGCGAGGCTGGTATAACAGTTTGTTGCACAGTCATTTCGGCTAGAATGCTAATTTTGTCATATTTTTGGGCTGGGGAAATCAGCTAAAACATGTAGAGTCACATTTTTTTTATATGTAATTACCTCATTTGTTAGTGCTTCTCAACATGCCACAATGTAGACATTTCAGGTGTGGTCACTTAATTTTTGTAACATCCTGCAGCAATGTGAACGAAGATAACGCTTGCTACTTAGAACAGTTCAGCTCCAAGCATCGAATAATCATGCATTTAGATGAAACAAAGTTTT